GGCCACCTAAGAGAGCAGATAAACCTGGTAGATCCGTTGTAGGGCAGATGCTGAGAGATGGCACTGCCCAAAACCCAGCGGGAGTGCCAGGAATCAAAGACTCCAAGCTCCTCTGATCTTCTTAAGGTTTTGGGTTTTTTTTTTAAACCATGATGCAGTTTTCCTCCATTGCTTAAGCTGTATGCCTACATGGTTAATTTATTGTCCAGTTACCCTGGAAAAAAACTCATTAAAGTAGAAGCCTGGGGCACCCAGACTCTGCTTCCAGCTCAGCCACGAGCATCCCTTTCCCTCTCCAACCGCATCTGCAGCATTCTGCATGCCCTGACACCGTACAGGGAAGGACCGACTGACCCCCCCCCCCATGACAGCAGACTTTGTTGGCTGCCATCCCCATTTTAGCCAGTGCATCTGTGCCTGGTGGAGTTGAGCATGTGTCCTCTGTGTGTCCCCTTGCAGGTGACTTGCCCCACAGCCTTCCAGGATACCTGGTTTTCCGCTGCAGTAACCCCATGTACTGGGTCTACGCCGATCAGAGATGTAATGGGAAGAACAACTGCGGAGACTGCTCTGATGAGATGGGGAGCTGTAAGTCTCTTTTCTGGTTACTGTTGGGCGAAAGGTCTTTTCTGCTGATGGATTGAAATAGATTGTACAGGTGTGGTGCTCACTGATGCTGCTGGAAACACCTGGAGGCTGGCATCCACTGCTAAAACACAAAATATCTGGGAGTATGAACCATGTGGGCTCCATCCCATCAGCTGCCAAGGGCTCTGTGTCAAAACGTAGTGGCAACTGAAAGGGGAAAGGCTCCATGCTTTGCTCCCAGCCCCAAAAGTTACTCCTCTGTGGCTTGCTGAGCATGGAGCAGTTTCATCGTGATGTGCAGCTGTAGGCAGCAGTGATCATTCAAACTGGCCTTTGGTTGTTGGTCAGGAGATGGGTACGTCTCTGAGCCAGGAGGACTGAGTGTGCCTCAGCAGCTTCAAAGCCATCTAGATCCTTCTCTCACTAAAATGAGCAGCAGGTTGGTTCCTAAGTCACCCTTGTGGTTTTGAACCTCAGGCGAGATGTGCCTGTATCAGCAGCTTTCTCTAGAGTAGCTTGCTAAAAAAACAGATTACATCTAGTTGTTCCCCCCAGGATGGTATGTCTACCACGAAGGTCATTGCAATGTCACGCTCCCTGGTTGTCTCCCACAAGTAGCATCAAGCAAGTGTCCTCTTTGGTGGGTTCACAGACTCAGGGTCATCACCAGCGGCTTTTCAGTAGCTGCCAGGGATGAAAGGGTAGCTACCTGTGTAAGAAAGGAGGGAAGGGGTCAGTGCAGCAGAAGCATTTCTGTTCCCTGTTTTCCATCCCTCCCAGTGGCTGCCTGCCCCCCGTGTGGGTCGGAGTGGTGGAGCTGCAGCCCTGTGCTCTACGAGTACTGCTCCTGCATCCCCAGGAGGCTGTGCCGGGACGGTGTCCAGCACTGCCTCAGCTGGTCCGATGAGTATATCTGCAGACCCTGAAGTCTTGGCACCCAGCAGCACTGGAGACAGCAGGGTGCTTCCTGCATTGTCACCTTTAAGCCTTTGTGTCCTCCTGCTCTGCCACCCGCTCGGGAAGCTCCAACCCAAGCAAGCCCTCATCAGCAGTGCTCTGACTGGCACAGAGTGACACTGAACAGGGATGAAGTGCTGCGCTTCTAGCCTGTGGCAGCCCATGCTGCAGGCTAGACACCAGCTGTGGGACACCTTCACAGGTTCTCCCGTCGTGTGAGGGTGAGTCCTTTCTACATGGGCAGAGCACCGTCTTGCAGCATTGCCTCGATAGCTCAATGGGTTGTGTGCAGGCTGCTGGAGACTACCAGATACTGTGTCTGACCAGCCCTGGGCGAGGGGCTTCTCCAGTATGGCAGGCTGCAGGCAGCCAGATGAAGGGACATTGAGGACTACCCTAAAGAGCAGGAGCTGTGTGAGGTGAGCCTTTCTAGCCCTTGGGTTGGCATTTCCCTCCGACACGTCTTCACACTCCTGATCTTCGTGGGCAGGAGGAGAAGCCTGTGTTTGTGTTCAGAGCACGTCTGCAGATGGTTTCAGCAGCGGCTTTGAAGGCTCTGTGTTGATGCTCCCAGGGTGCTTCCTCGGGAACCTGGCGCTGAGAGTGACATGGTGGGGAACTGCTGCACAGGCCACCCCCCGCACTCTTCTCAAACCACAAAGGCCAATGTAGAGAGCGTAATGGCAAGGAAAACTGAGGTGGAGAGGGTGCAGGGTTTGTGGGGATAAATCACCGTGCCTCTGTGCCCATGTAGCTGTCCCTGCAGGGCAGGGGCAGGGAACTGGCACATATATAAAATGGGCTTCTCTCAGGGCCATGCGGTTCTGGAGCAGCAGCTCAGCAGGTTGAGAACAGCCGTGGGGCTGGGATGAGTTTGCACTGAAATTGGCAAGGAAAGGCAAAAAAAAAGTTGCAGCCTCGGAGCAGAGAGCAGCAGAAAACCAAGTGCTGCAGCTGCTCCCGGGGTGGTGTGGGATGACACAGGGTCTGTTCATTGCTTGTTCCGTTCCTCTGCCAGCAGAGCAGGATCAGGCAGCCAAACCTTCAAAGCATTCCTCAGAATATAGATACGGACGTGCCACTGAAATTTAAGAAAGATGTGGTCTTTCTCTGCTCCTTTGAAAAGTTCATCTGTGTCTAAAACATCATCTCTGAGAAAAACCCACATTTACAGTGAGTGCCCTTACTTTTCTAGGCCCAAAATAAACATCAGGCAATATTCTTCCCACCCATAGGTCATATATCTTTAAAAATAAAGCCCCATTTGATCATTTCCTCTCTGTCCTGTGATCTGCAACTCTGCATGTCACCATGGCTTTTATCAACGGTGAATGTTTGTTCTAATTTGTAGCTGAGATACAGCTATAGATGAGAGATCTTTTAAAAATAGCTTTACTGTATTCTGACTCATACTTCACCTAGAATGAGATGGCAAAACTCTGCATAATGGAACCGGTACTACAGGAAACTTTCAAAGCCACATTTAATAACCTGTCCTTCTCCATGCCTGGCTAGGATGGATGGCTTGCTTTCTCCATGCCTGTAAAACATTACTGCAGTGCATTCAGTGCTGCAGCTCAGAAGAGAGGTTACAAGTTTTCTAGGTAAACATTTCTCACTTGCAAGCCTCCAGCCTCAATCAAAGCCTGAAATAGAGATGTACATTTTCACTGGAGAGTCACAGACATCTAACGCTTCAACAAGGCTGAGTCAGGGTTGGTAAATAAAGTCTGGTTTATTGTAGTTGCTGTTCTGGGGCAATCAGTGAGGAAGTCTTGCAGCATTTCTTAAGAGGAACTCAAGGAAGGGTGATTCAGAGGCAGCGCTACTGGGCAGCCTCTGTTTCCTGGGGAAGAAGAGCTTTCCAATTCAGATGGGGTTCAGCCACAGACTGTTTGCCTGTTCCTTGGCTTTGAAGTGGGAGGACACACAACAGGCTCTCTGCACTGGGAGGGGGCAGGTGGGCCACATCTGCTGCGTGCTTCTATGGGGCAGCAGTCAAAGGAAGGTGGGAGAGAAGGGGAAGAATCATCTCATCCCTCATGATGGGAACTATGTATGGATAACAGAACAACTGTAGTTGGTAAGGATTGAACTAATCAGCTGTTAAAAAAAAAAAAATACAGAAGCCCTCATGCTCAGCATAGGGCGCAGCCAATATGATTGGTAAAAAAAAAAAAATTGTTCTGTATCAAAGATATTGGGACATCCATGACTTCCTGGAGCCTCTGATGTTTGCTGTGGTTGGGAAGAGGATGCTGGTTAGGCTGACCCGTATGGCAACTGCTGTGTTCTCCCAGTCCAGTGTTTGTCGATCATTGCCACAGCTCATCTCTACCAAGTTGTAAGATGCTCCTGAGGGCGAAGAGGAAGGCGTCTGGGCATGCAGTGTGTGAATGCGGGGAGTCAGACGTTTGTGCTTGCTATGTAGGAAGGCTGCTTCTCCACTGCAGCAGAGGTCAAGTGGTGGCTTCCCTTGGCTGAATGGGGACAATGTTGGGATCTGGGAATTCTTACTTTATTGTGAGAAATAATAAAGAAAGCAAATACCTGGCTTAAGGCAGGAAAAATTCTTGTGCCACCTTCTCTCTCCTTCAGCAG